TTTAAGAGGGTTCATTGAGACCAGGTGAGTACATGATCATAAGTGTATATTATGTTAAGGAATTAAGACTTAATATGAGTCTAATGCCGATATTATATGATATAAGTATTAAAGCATAAACATGTAGTGATATGGTGTTAGATGTATCGTATATGAGAAAATGCATATGTCTAATTGTTGAATGCATCTATATGTGTAAACTATGTAAATGCATGTATTTATAATAATAGGTCATGTGATCATGAGATATTGATAATAAGTCATAAGATTACATGCATAGGTAATATGAGTTAAAAGATAATAGATAATATGTTATATACATATGAGAAAAAGGTATATGTGAACTATATGAAATGGAATAAAGAACTATGTGATGTGACCATGTGTGAAAAGGATGAAAAATGTGAATTTTATGGGAAAATGCTACGTGAAAGTAAACTACGTGACTATGTGATCATATGAAATGTGATAAAGAGCTATGTGAAAGAACTATGTGATGTGAATATGTAAATGTGTAATGAGGTAAAAGATAATGCCCATGCCATGTGTTATGAGAGATATAGGTATAGTTGCCAAGAGTCGAGGGTCTACGCGGTCCTTCGGGACATAGTGGTCCTTCGGGACGTATGTGTTATATGTGATCCTTTGGGACATCTACGTGGTCCTTCGGGACAAATTATACGCGCCCCTAGTGGGATTTATACGAGCTGTGGTGACAGCATTGTGTACAACCTCTATGTACTCACATACCTTAAGTTCTCAATAGTGTGCATGGGCTTTGAAAATAAACCATAATTTGATATAATGATATGTGTGTTTCTCGTGAAATGGTACATGTGATATGCGATATGTATAAGTGATAAGTTAGGATCATATGATAATAATGGTAACAAGTGTATATGGGTAATAGTGATATGAGATGTGATATGGTTATGTATGATATGATCATAGTAATTAATCATGTATTGTTGTGTTTGAAGACATTATATGTTTATGTTCAATATATGCTCATATGATGGAATTGAATCAATGACAAGGAGATAAGTAAGGATAAACCGGTAAGTGATGGCTTTAATAGGTATATAAGTATAATATGTGTTACATGGGATGTTCATGCATTTGTTAGTTTACTTTATGTATTTACATGTCTCACTAAGTCTATGACTTAGCGTGTAAGTGTTTTACACGTAGGTGTGGATAAGTCAGAAGATCAAGCTTCAGATCCATAGAGCAGCATATCTCCGCCAAAGTTCAGATCATAAATATTTTGTAAAGTATGTTTTGTTATGTAATTCGGTATGTTGGCATGTAATTAAGTCATTAAATATGTATGCTCTGATGGAGTCAGTTAAGGTTTTAAACATGTTTATGAAAAAGAATTACTCTATAAAATAGAAGTTTTAAATTTTTTATGGTTTCTTTTATAAAAGTATGTGCTTTGACTAGTCAATGTGACACCTCAGATTCGTATTCGGGTCAGATACGGGTTGGGGATGTTACATATTTTAGATATATTTTAAGGTTATTTATTTTAATATTTTATATTTACATATTAAAATTTAAAGAAATTCAAACATGTCACATTTAAATAGATATAATATTTAAGTTTTAATTTATTTAAATTTGATTTATTTGTTAAAACTTTTAATTTCATCATTATGTTTTTTTAGAGAAAGTTATCATTTACAAAATTTAATTTAGTATAAAAAAGTGTATAGTATATATGAAAGTTTAATTAGACTTAGGGGATGTTTGTTTACTTCAGAATGATTAAGCGCTGAATGATTCAAATGCTGAATGATTCAGAGGCTCTGTTTGAATTATCTATGAATGTGACATGTAGTTTGATAATGGCTCTGAATCATTCAGAAAATACTTTAATGCTGAATCATTCAACATTGTTTTGCTGAATCATTCAACATAGTCTTCATTTAGAGGTAATAAACAAACACGTTGAATGTTGAATGGTTCTATTCAGAGCCAAACAAACAACCCCTTAGATTGAACTTGTCAAGTGACATCATTATATAAGGGTATATTGTTCTTCTTATAGGTATTAAACTCGAGTAGTTATGTTTACAAAATGTGTGTCATTAATAGTTAAAAATATTTTAAACATTTTTTTCTTAATAATTTCATACTCCAAAATTTAAGTGGTTTTATTCAGATGGATTTAATAAACTAAAGCTTACGTATAAAATAAGTGCCTAAATTCTACCTATTTTCACGAATATGTGCCTACAGTGTTTTTTGGCCCATCCATGTGTTTAACGTTATAAATGTTACTCATTTAGGTGCCTGAGCCATTAACGACGTTAATTTCCCCATTAAGTGACACGTGTCATAATCTGGTGATTTTGAAATTTATATTTAAAAAATATTATTATATTTATAAAAAAACATAATTTCTCTTAAATTATAAAATAGCCCCAAAATATCTAAAATCTCAAAACCCTACCCTTAATATGTCATTGCCCCCTTTTCGGCCACGACCGCCACTTTTGGCATAGTCCTGCCATCCTCCTAGTACATGTGATTGTATTTGCTATCGATTGGCTTTAGGAATCGTGTGGGATCGCGATTTTCAACCTAGGGTTCGAGGGGTATAAAACATTGATTCGTCGTCGATCGATCACGATTTCATAGGGATTTTGATCGACGGGGGAGGTGAGGTTGGGGGGAGCTTCGTCAACGGAAAAGGGTGGTGGGTGGTGTGGGTTTAGGGGTTGAAATGAATATTTTTAAAGTTTATGGTTTATTTCAAAAATTTTGTGTTTTATTTTTTAAAAATATATATTTTTTATATTTTATACACAAATTTGAAAATTATCATATTGTGACACGTGTCATTTAACAGGGGAAATTAATGTTGTTGATGCTCCGAGGACCTAAATGTATAACGTTTGTAACGCTAAGCACCTTGATGGATCGAAAAATATTGTAGGCACCTATTCGTAAAAATATGTATAATTGAAGCACTTATTTTATACTTAAGCCATAAATTAATCAAATTTAAAAGTACAAACTATTAAATGTTTTTAATCATATCCCATAATTTGAACACTCTTATTGAAATTAAGTTGATCAATTTATTGACATATAAGATTGAATTCTTTTACTCTTAATTAGTTTATATCTATTGATTTGGATGATCCTATTGAGATTAACTTAATAAAAATATCGAATTTAAATTAGAGATGCTAAACATACTAAATGCTTTTAATGATTTTGTAATTTTGATTTTAGTAGTTTATATTGTAATAAATTTGATGAAATAACTTACGTAAATACGACTATGAAAGATATTGAATCATTTTTCTATAACATTTATTAATATCGAGATATATTGACTAAAGTGATGATATACCATTGAACACATTTCTATTATAGAATTGTTGTGTGTTATAAGTTTACTCTTATTTTGATCAATTTTATATTTGTTCGTTTTTAATAGAATAATTGTTTCTTTTTAAGCAAGTCTCGAATTTGAGTCATTGTGAATGTAGAAAATTTTCGTAGGAAGACTCATCCACCAAAACCAGGCATATGACTCGAGTCAGTCTAGATTAATCAAGACGAAGCCTTAAGAACCGAAAGAACAAAAACAAAAACAAAATTTTCTTTTACTATATATTAGTTCTAAATATGTCGTCTTTACTTGTTTCTAGAATATTTCATAAAATTCTACTTATATGTATTAGTAGGGTATTACGAGTAATGTAGATATTAATAGAGTGATTGAAATATTTTAAGAAACTGATTAAAGTGGATAATATATATTTTTTTACTATTTTTGCTTTTTGTTATTCCTATAAAAATAACTTGTCTTTCTCTCACAATTTCTATCTTTTAAAAAGGATAATATCGATATTTTTTCCTTAAATGTATAAATATGAAAGTTTTGCGTTAATTTTAAACAATAATATATTTATTATATTGATGATTAAAATAATAATTTTATCACGATATAATAAATCAATTTATAATTTATATTTGACTTAGTTTTCTCTATTGTTGTTAATATGTTCATTTTGTAGTAATATATTTACCAACATCTGTTACTGCAGATACAATTTTTATCTTCTCCGTATTTTTATACAATAATTAAATAAAACGATTAAAATATATTATTTAAGAATCAAACAATAAGTTTTTGGCAAAAAGACATCATAGGTTCCTATACTTTTAAAAAAATTAATGTGCTCCTCATATTAATTTTTATTCTCAATGTGATCCTTAAACTCAGAAAATTAAAACTAATGTGGCCCTTTGATTAACATTTTTTTTATCGTTGATAGTTACGGTATTGACGATTCATTGTGCTGATGTGACAATCCACTATATTAATTTTTCTTTCAATGCGACCCTCAAACTCAAAAACTAAACCTAATGTGGCAATTTATGATGTTGATGTGATGATTCACTATGTTGATGTGAGAGTCTATAGTGATTAATAACGTGGCGGATGATATAGTAAATGAGTTAAATTGATAACTCAAATACGACATATGAATTCCATGTCAGCATCGTGGACCACTACCTTAGCATCGTGAACTACCACATCAACACCGATAATGGTCAATGATGAAAAACGTTGGTCAAAGGGTCCTATTAAATTTTTTTTAAGTTGGAGACTACATTAAGAAAAAATAATACAAATACTCTATTATTTTTTTCAAAAATATAGGACCTATGTTACATTTCCCCCCCCCTAAATTTTTTAAACATACGAGGAAATAATATTAGTAAAAGAAGTGCAGTTTTCCGCTGATTATACTGACATTCTTGCCACTCACGCAACAAAAGTTGGTTGGTAGATGGAGCACATGATATAGATATTTGACCAAATTTATTTAATTTACTAAATAATATAAGAAAAAAAGACTAGGATAATTGGACCCACCGGTTCGAGTCAGCCCGGTTTTTCTTAATAACCTCATATGAATATACTACCAAAACTTCCTAGTAGTTTAGTCTTACAAGTAACATCTCTTCCGAATTCTCTTCTTTGACTGCACTCCTCTCTTCTTTCTTTTCGTTTCGCTGAAACAAAAGAACCCCCAAAATTTGCTCGTACTGATTATACTTTCCAATTCTTCATCATGTGAAATAATTTTACTCTTCTAAAGTTTGGCTTTCATCAGTTTTTGCTTTCTTGATCAGAAAGTTTCCATTTTTTTTAAAATTTTATAGTAAAGGGGATAAGTAAGAAGTTTTTTTTTATCACTAAGAGAGATGACGTTGACGGCGGCGGTTGCGACGACTGATTCACGCATTGGCGACGATCAAGTGTGGCCACCGGGGTTCCGATTTCATCCAACCGATGAAGAGCTGGTTCTTTATTATTTAAAGCGGAAAATCTGTAGAAGAAAGCTCAAGCTTGATATCATAAGGGAGACTGATGTTTACAAGTGGAATCCTGAGGAGTTGCCTGGTAAAATTTTCTTCATCCCCCCCACCCGAAATTGTTTTTTAATCATCGATTCTTCTTGATTTATCTGGCTGCATTTTGTTAGTTTAACTGATAATTGAGAAAATATTTGCGTTGACTTTGTTTTCGTTTCATTAAATGGCTTCTTTTCTTTTTGGGGGGGGGGTTTGATTTTATCTGTTACTGATCTGCTTCTTTTCTGGGTTTGTTTGGTGAGGATTATATGGCTATATATGCAAATCATGTACTATTAAAATGATTATTTTCATCTTGTTCAATCTAGAACATCCCAGGTGCGCTAACTCGGGTTTTGCACAGTAACTATACTGTTTATTTGGTATCATTTTTTGTTTCTTTTTTCTGGTATATAAATTGATTTTGAAGGAATTTGGAACCCTAAAGATTGATTGGATGACATCGATGCTGGAACTATTATCCTGTATGATTTGTTCAGGTCCATAGCTTGATTGATGATCGTGGGATTTAGATTTGACCGAGGTGTGTATGTTAGAATTTTGTTTTGTTTTGTTACCTAACACATGAACTTTTGATTTTGCAAAATTAACTTCTTTAAGCCTCTGATTGTTATAAACTTCAAAGCTGATTAATCAATGGAGTTTTCAGATATCTCAATGTTTCTATAGAACAAGAGTGTTTATTATTTTTTTTTTGGGGGGGTTCGGAATTGAGGTTCTTGATTCCATTTATTTCAGATGGTTATTTCTTGTTTGAGAATGTTAAGCAACTGATAGTTCGTTGGCTTCTGGTTTTTGATCTTGTTTTATTTGTTGCATTAGCAGTTTTCTAATGAGCAAAAATGCAAAATTTTGTCATACAGCACAATCAATACTGAAGACTGCGGATCGGCAGTGGTTCTTCTTCAGTCCGAGAGACAGGAAATACCCTAATGCAGCAAGGTCAAACAGAGCAACCAGACAGGGGTATTGGAAGGCAACAGGAAAAGATCGTGCCATTACCTGTAATTCTCGGACGGTTGGAGTCAAGAAAACTTTAGTTTTCTACAGAGGCCGTGCACCTAATGGTGAGAGAACTGATTGGGTAATGCATGAGTATACCCTCGATGAGGAGGAACTCGAGAGATGCCAGACTGCAAAGGTATGTGGCGGAAGAAGTTTTTGGAGGAACTTTTCTAGTTTTTCCTCTTGCATGTGAGCTGTTTATTAATTCTGATTTTCCTTTTTACATTTCAGGACTATTATGCTCTCTATAAGTTGTACAAAAAAAGTGGACCTGGCCCTAAAAATGGGGAGCAGTATGGGGCTCCGTTCAAAGAAGAAGAATGGGCTGATGAGGAATATACTAGTGAACCGGTTGATGCAATCACCCCTGTTAAACAACCAAATGAGGCCATTCATGATGATAATGAAAAAGCTAATGATCAAATTCAGCCTCCATTGGATGATATCGAGGAGTTCATGAGACAATTTGCTGTTGAGACTGTCTTTCCGCAGCCACAAGCTCATTTTGACTATGTATTGCCTCGAGTTACTGGTGAAGAAGAGATACAAAGTACTTTTCTGGAGCCATCTCCAAGGGATATACTATTTCCTAAGCCGCTTAAGGTTTTACATGACCATGCAAGCTTTGAATTCCCCCACTCCCCTACATCTCATTTGCAGTTGCATGAGGCACCTGTGGTCACGTCTGTTATTGACCCCATCGAACAATTACCACAAATATGCGACAAGGACTTTCTGGAAATTGATGATCTCCTAAATTCTGATATTTTGACCTCCAATGTAGAGAATCCTGTGGAGAAAGGGCAGCAGTTCAATGAGTTGGATGGTCTGGCTGAATTTGAACTGTACCATGATGCCGCGATGTTCCTACAAGACATTGGACCTATTGAACAAAATATGATAAATCAGGTAAATTACCAATTGGAACCTCATTCAAATATAAGCCTCATGGACCAGCAGTTGCAGCCTCAATTGAATGCTTTCGGGGATAATATATTAAATCAGGTGGGTTATCAATCTCAGTCCTGTATTAAATAACCTGATGGATCGGCAGTTGATTCCCAATACAATTGTGGAGCAGGTGGATTACCAGTTACCATTCCAGTCTTTTGGAAACGAGCTGGAGCAACCACTCCAAATGGATCAGACCAATGGCTCAATTTGGACACATGATCAAAGTGGTGATGTCTTCACTCCATCAGGACCATATCTTGGGAATGCTTCTACAACTTCAGGTAGGACAGCACGGATATCAATGTGCTTATATATGTCAAGTTAACTTGCATTCACTGAAATGTTTTCTGTTTCGGACAAAGTTGCGGACTTAGCCCATGCTGGTGGAGCTCTTGATGAGATGGATGGTTTGGTAGATGTGCCAAAAGTCCATATGGCAAAAAGCCTTTGTAAAAAGGGAATTTGAGCCTGCTTCAAGAGCTCTTCTGATACAAGTATTTTCATTTATAGTCACTATAAAGTGATTAGGATGCAAATATTTGATGTGTTTTTTTTGGCATCGGAAACTGCTAAACTAATTTTGCTTATGATTACTTTTTTGGGTCATCTTTAGGTTTGATGTACAATGTTAATAATCTAGATCAAGGTGACAAAAACAGTGGTGGTGGTGCAAGCCGGTTTTCTTCCGTGTTGTGGTCCTTTGTGGAGTCGATACCTACTTCTTCTGCTTCAGCATCTGAGAGTCCTTTGGTAAATCGGCCCTTCGAGCGAATGTCTAGCTTCAGTAGGTCGAGAACAAAGTCTAGAAACACCAATGCTCAGAAGACAGCCAGGAATAAGGGGTTCTTTTTCATTTCGATTTTCGGTGCCTTGTTTGCTATATTATGGTTCCTTATAGGAACAGTTAGGGTCTTGGGGTGCTCGATGGCCTCATGAAGATAAATATAACTGGGAAGTTTTGTTATGCCCTACGGTGAAGTTGTTGAAATTGTTTCATTGTACTTCAAATTGGTCATCAAATAGTTTAATGAATGCCAAAGGAAGTACATGGTAGTTTAATGAATGCCATATCTTCATATAGCATCATGTTGAAGCATATTTTGCTTAGCATCCTAATCCTTAACGGCCTTTTTTCTGTTATATTTGTTTTTGGAACTACCGGCTTTTCATGGTAATTATTTAACTCCAAAGTCTGAACTACAAATAGGACGTTGAGTATATTAAGAGTTCGTTACGATAATATTTTTTAAAAGTACAGTTAAAAAATTTCATTTTGACCTTAAAATTAATGTCAAATATGTAAAAAATGAAAAAAAATTGCGGTTAATTTGGTGGTTTCAAAACAAATGTAAAATTTGGGATTTTTAGTTTTTTCATTTTCAATTTTGTGTTTGGAAGCAATTTATAATTTTACCCTTAGTAATGTATGAGTTTCACTCAATTATGTATTGATATTTTATTTTAATATTTTAATACTATCACCTTAAAAAATAATTTATTACTTTTAATGATTTATTTTAATTATTTAAAAATAAATAAAATATATGATTATATATTACAATATTAATAATGAGTTATATAAAACATATTTTTGTTACAATTATGTTTTTTATTTGTATTTTTATATTTTCATTATAGTTTAAATTGATATAATTTATATATAATAATATTTTTTTTTTGAATTTGTTATAGTTTAAATCAATATGATTCATCAAGAAGTGTAAATATAATTTAAATCTATATTTTTAATTTACAATGTAATATCTATAATATACATTTATTCTTTTCAAATTTATTTTTTAACATTAATTCCAAACAATCAAATTTTAAATTGCACTTTTGCACAACGTTTTTAAAAGTTTGTTTTTACAATACTTTTAAAAATCACTTTGCAAAAGCCATGGATTCAAATAGTGGTTGAGATCGTTTTTTCGATTGCGTTGCGTTTGTCGCGATTACGGATATAACATATGCTTTTACAAGGATTACGGGTATCGTGGTCATATAATAGCGGTAGCAAAAGATATCACTATTGCTATATTACAGGTGTTATCGTTGTCGTGAACCGCTATTTAAATCTCTGACAAAAACTATATCAAACTTACCCTAAACCTTAAAATAAAGTATAAAAGATACCCGTACCTTAGCTTGTGCAACCGTAGGATGTTGAGTACTGAAGTGAATAACACAAACTACAGATAGGGTGAGCAAAATTTAATTGAAAAAACTCATTGCAATAATACCCATTGCATTACTTTCTTTATTTTAAAATGCGACTTATAAGATGAGTTCGACGTAATACGTCTTTATTTTAAGTAATATACACTAATCTGAAAAATAATTTAAAAATTAATTGAGTGATCTCAATGATTAAAATGAATATTTTTCTTTTAGATCTTCAGTTTGAATTGTACGTTTGTAGAATATATTTATTTTTTAATCACCTCAAATTATTAAAAAAATCTTGCAAAGTGATATTTTAATAAAAAAATTATATATTAAGAGGGATTTATTTAATTTTTAGGGACTAAACTAAACAGATGTAAAAATATTGAGGATAATTTTATAATTATATATTAAACTATAAGATATTTAATTTTTAAAGATTGAATATAATTATATATTAAACTATAAGATATTTAATTTTAGAGTTAATTGTATTATATGTTCCCAAGTTATAACCCTCATTTAAAATTGACCTTAAATTTTTGAATATTTCAATTTCATCTCTGTACTATGAATCTCATTCTAAATTTATCTTTAAACTTTTTAACATTTTAATTTTATCCCTAAACTATAATCATATTTCTAAACAGTTCCCCAAACTTTTGCATATTCCAATTTCATCCCCAAATTCATACCAATATATAATTAGTTTCAACCATAGTTTAACCTAAATTTTGTTTTTTAAACATATAATAATATAACTTGGCCTATCGATTTTATTAACAAGGATGCAATTAATATATGCATATAGTTTGAGATGAAATTGGAATGTACAAAAATTTTAGGGATCATTTTAGAATAAAAATCATAGTTTTGAGATGAAACTGAAATATTTAAAAGTTTGAAAACTAATTTAAAATAATAACCATAATTTAAGGGATGAAACCGAAACATTTAAAAATTTAGGAACTAATTTAAAATGAAGGTAAAAGACATGTGATAGAATTAACTGATTAAACAATTACGTCATCTAGACTGTAAACATCTAATCCTACTAATTGTCCTATCCTGGTTAACGCATAAGAGGACAAAGCCTAAAAAATTGAAAAACTAGTAGAAAAAAGTGATTAAACAGCAGCTTGCCCTCTTTACCTTTCTCTCTGGTTGAAAATTATCCTTCAGATTTCACAAAGACAATAAGCAAATCTTTGAATTTGGGGATGAAATTCAGAGACAAAAAGCAAATCTTTGAATTTCAATTATCCTTGTTTCTTTCTCTCTTCACTTCTCTCGTAACTGAAAAATACGGAGAATCAAGAGCAAATCTTCGGAGAAACCACTTTAGCGCCGCGCCCTACCTTTGAATTCGAAAGAGCGACGTGGAGGAGGAGGAGGAGGAGGAGGAAGCCGCTGCGCCGCTTCACCTTCTCATATTGATTTCAATCCCCATTTCATGGCCTTTCCTCAGCATCGCTGCGTTTTCGGTCTCTCTCTCTCTCTCTCTCTCCTTCTCTGATTTTGCTTCTTACTCTCTAGATTGTTATTTCTGTTTAATTTCTGAGAAATATTTGTGTATTAGTAACGAATAATCTCAGGATTTGATTTTCTTTAGTTGTTTAAATGATTTAAATCCGATGGTTTACTTTTTTTTTCTTTTTACAAAGTTACTGAATTTGGTATTTATTTTGTTTTTGTTTTCGTTGGCAGTTGGGAATATACCTTATGATGCTACTGAGGAACAGCTTATAGAAATCTGCAGGGAGGTTGGTCCTGTTGTTTCTTTCAGGTTTGGAATTTTCTTTTAGATTATTTCGACATTTGAAATTCAATTTCCCCTTTTAAGTTAAAAGCTTTTAGGTTTGTAACTATGCCAGAATAGAATTGGTACCGATTACTGAATGCAAAGCTTTTAAAGCAAACTGAGTTGTCTGATTGTTTCAACTGCGTAGTTGCATAATTGATAGTGATGTTGTGACTACGGACTAGTACAATGAGAATGGAATTTTGAGGATATATTCGTAGAGAATTTAAAATCTTTTGACCTTGACAGGTATGATGTGTTTTAAGTTATTTAGGAATATTGAACAAGGTTATACTCAGTATTCAGTAAACATCCGGACAGAAACATATAAATGCAGTCTAATATTTTGGGTGCCTCATTCATGAACTATGAAACGTTCCCATTATAAATCTTTGTTAACTTGATTTGAGATGAAATTGCTTTTTGGAAGATATTTTTCTATTTTAGATATATTCATATCTAGATTTTTTATGAGATCAACGGAAGGCAATTACGAGTTGATTTTGCTGAAAATGACAAAGGCTCTGATAGAGACCGAGAACAGGTGAACTATTTCTTCACATTGGCATTCATTATAATGTGATTAGATGATCATTGGTCTCGATGTCACATGCGGTGTAGGTAGCTATTTAGTAATTAGTATAGATCAATTTAATTTAAGCTATAAAAGTCCAGTTTTCTTCCATTAAAAGGGGCCTGCTCTTTAGTATGTATTATTTGATACAGTTCACGTTTCACTTATAAAGATTTTAGTTTTTCAATTCCTGTATGTTTATTAGGGAATATATTCCAATTCTTAAAAAGTGAGAAAGGAAAAAAACTGCGATGAACTTGATATCATGGGCCATTGCCTCCGCATAAATATCCATGCTGGAAGAAAGAGATTAATCATTATATCTGAGAAGGGCCTTCAGCCTAGACCATTAATACTGAAACTAGATGAAAATGAACAATCTGTGATAAAGTTATTTATACTCATGTGAATGCATGGTTGAGATGTACTTGCAAGGTTATATTTACTAAATATTTTAACAAATTTCTGGCATAGTAACTTTTAGATTTTGTCACTTGGCTTGAACCATTTTATTGGGTGGTAGGTCTACTGTAAAGCTGCATACTCACATTGACAATCTAACTCTCTGTTCTATAACCTTGGTGGTAACTGAAGCTTATTTCATTGAAACAAAAGCCCATGCCCCATATACATGCATTATCCTACTTCTTAGGATGATACTTCTTCAGTATAATGTTTTTCTTATTATTTTTTTTATATAATAGCTTAAACAGTGAACCTTGTTTTATTTCAGGGCCGTGGTGGACCTGGACTGGCAACAAATATTGGTTAGTATTTATGTTTCTTTCAGATTATTTTCTTTTGGAGGAATACAGACTGATTTTCCCCCCTTTAACCGACACATAATAGACCCTCAAAAACAAGTAGGAGGCCAAGCAGTCCAGGGTGAATCTTTTCACCTGCAGCCTATTGGTCTCCATTCAGCTATAACTGCTGCTGCTCTCGTGGCTGAAGCTCTTGGTGGTGTGCGGTCTAATCTGCAACATAATCAAAATGCTTTACCAGGTCAGTCAGCACCAGCTACTGACCCGCTAACGCTCCATCTTGCCAAAATGTCTAGGAGCCAGCTGAATGAAATTATGTCTGAACTGAAGGTATACTTTGAACAATACAAACTGTTATACAGAACCTTTCTTCTTTTTCTTTAATTAATGGTATTCTTTCAAATCTTGTTTCAACAGAAAATAGCTACACAAAATAAGGAAAGAGCTCGTGAACTACTGCTTTCAAAACCTCAGTTGCTGAAAGCTATTTTTCAGGTATTTTTCATTTTTGGTCTTTCTTTATAATAAAATATGAAGAGAGATTTATCTCAAAAAGTTGGTATCTATCTCATAAATTTCATCCAGATTCCCTTGATTAAAGATATCCTTGAAAAACTCCAAATTCCCAAAAAGAAATGAGTTTATTGTTTTAAGTTCAAACCTTTTATGTGAATACTTGATGGGTTAC